GACCATTCTCCCTGGGGGGTGATTTCTCACCTTCCCTCTGTCTGTCTCTGGTAAGCGCATGCGCCTTATTGCAAAAATTTTAATAAATGGGACCAGCAGTTAGCATAATGGCTATGTTGCTGGTCTCCCATGTAGTCGACCGCAGTTCGAGTCCTGGACCCGGTGGCTTAAATTCACAATGGGCGCGTGTGTGTGCATGCCCAAGATCCCGAGAATGGAGAAGGGACTGTGATGTGGCCATCCCCCCTGAGGGGTGATTTCTTGCTTTCTGTCTCTCTGGCAAGTACATGTGCCCTATAGCAAAAAAAAAAAAAAAACTCTCAAAAAAAATTTTTAATAAATAATTTAAGTAATTGGATCTACAACCCACACTTCTGGTTCCTGCTGTGGTTTCCTTCATCTGACACCAATCTGCAAGCCCACTTTCACCATCTTCTGTGAATGTCACATGCCTCTAACCTATGATGTTTATTTAGCTTTTCAAATGAAACCACTGGACTTTTTTTTTTTTTTTAAGAGGTTTTTGCTATAGGGCACGTGCGCTCGCCAGACAGAGAGAGACAGAGACAGAAAGCGAGAAATCACCCCCCAGGGGGGATGTCCATGCTGCAATCCCTTCTCCTCCATTCTCCTCTCGGGATTTTGGGCACGCACGCACACGCGCCCGGCGTGAGTTTTAAGCCACCAGGTCCGGGATGCGAACCACGGTCGACTACGCGGGAGTCCAGCAACATAGCCATTATGCCAACTGCTGGTCCCACCATTGGACTTCTTTGAATGAGACCACAATCTCTTTTTTCTAGGAGTTTCTCATCTGAAGTTGAAAACTTGATCATGTCAAGAATGACCAGTGAAGAATTCTTAGGAAGCTTTTGCTTGGGGCAAATTAGCTACGCATGAAACTTCTTACAGAAGGTGGTGTTTGCTTTCACGCTGAACTGCCTTATCATAATGATTGCTGAACAGCTCATCAAACAACACAATCCCATGGGAGGAATCCAGGTTGAATGTATCTTCTAGAGCATGCCACTCTCGGGCTGGCAGATGGTGTGGTGGTGGAGGCACTGTACTCCCACATGGCCGACCAGTTTGAGCCCCAGACCTGCTGTCTGCTTTCTCACTTTCCCTCTCTCTGCCTCTCTCTGGTCAGATTAAAAGATGATAATGGGAACAGCAGATGGTGTAGTGGTCACATTGCTGGGCTCCCACGTAGTCAAATGCAGTATGAGTCTTGGCACCGGCAACTTAAAATTCACACTGGGTCAGTGTGCGTGCGTGCCCCAAATCCCCAGAGAAAGGAGAAGGGATTGTGATGGCCATCCCCAGGAGAGGTGATTTCTCGCTTTGTCTCTCTGTGTCTCTCCAGTGAGCGCACACTATAGCAAAAAATCTCTCTAAAAATAATAAATAATGATCATGATGAATAAAATTAAATGAAATAATTCTTTAAAAGGAAAAAAGAATGCCACTTTCTGGGCCAGCTCACCAATGGCATGACGGGTAAGGCAGCTGAATCCCACAGACCTGACTGTGTGGTTCAAGTCTTGGACCTGACGGCTTGAAAAACACACCAGGTACATGTATGTGTGTGCGCAAAATCCTGAGAGTGGGGAAGGGATTGTGGCATCACCAACCCCACTAGGGATGCTTTCTCACTTTCCTTCTTTCTTTCTCTCTGACAAACACAAGTGCCTTATAACAAACTTAAAAGAGAGAGAGAGGGAGAGAGAGAGAATGCCACTCTCTAAGGCAGATGGGGTGTTTCCCTGCAGTGGTCTCGCAATCTCACGAGCAGAATCTTCAGTGTGGATAAGGACCTTCCTATCACACCCCGAGAGTGTCATGTAGAAACAACAACGCACTGGGGGCCCAGCAGTTAGCGTAATGGCTGTCACTGGACTTCCAGGTAGTCGACCGTGGTTCGAGTCCCGGACCCAGTGGCTTAAACTCACATCTGGTGCATGTGTGTGCGTGCCTAAGATCCCAAGAGGGAAATGGAGGAGATGGGATTGCAGCGTGGCCATCCCCCCAGGGGTTGATTTCTCGCTTTCTGTCTCTGTCTTTCTGGCGAGCACGCATGCCCTATAGCGAAAACCTCTCAAAAAACAAAAGAAAAAAGAAGCTAACAGTGTATTGAAACCTTGCCAGAGAAATCATCTTCGTCTCGTTCTTGAGGGGTGCTGACTTGCTTTTCTTGCTTGGTTCTCCAATGATGCAATCTGCTAGAGCAGCAGCTTCCTGTTTGAGGGTTTTATGCCTAAATATAAGATGCTTGAATCTGTGACTCATCCCTTATAATTAGATATGACGCTCAGTGCACATCCACACAGACCCCAGGAACACTTTCCTTTGTGGGTTATTATTTCCCCCGCTGAGCTGCCGCCAGTGGACGCAGATCATGAAGCTGACAACGCAATTCCAAGCTCAGCCTTGAGGGTGCAGTCGCCAGGCCCTGCTGCACCGCAGCACACAGGACGAGGGCTCTCTCCCAGCCCACTGGCCCGCGTTTGGGGCTTTTTCGTCCTGCAGGCTCACAGTTTTAGACGGTCTCCTTTCTCCCCTTCCCACAGATACGGGCCGGCGACATGGGCGACATGAAGCTTCCTCAACGCCTAGGCTGACTCTGGGAATGAGAGGGAAAGCTGGCAGTGACGCCAGTGGCCCTCCTTCTCACACTCCTGACGACTCGGCCCCTGGGCACTGGCTGCTGCTGCTGAGGGACACTCACGATCCACCCGCCCCAGGCCTTGGCCATCGCTCACCCCGATGTTGTTCTTCATTTTTTTTTTTTTTTTATTGTTTTTTTTTTTTTTTTTTTTTTTTATGGGGGAACTAGAGGCTGGGCCCTGAAGCAGCAGCTAAACGAGGATGCTGTCCCCAGAACACAACCTCGAGCCAGGGCCCGGCCTTCAGTCCCCACGCCCTGTATACCTCCTCCAGCTCAGGAACGTAGGTCGGACGGAAGGTGGGCCAGCCCGCGTGGGAGGCAGAGGGGAGCCGCCTGCTACCCTGACTCCCCTCCCCACTATTCAACGTATGACAGACCGACGGCTCCGTTCCCTCCATAACTGAGTGGCTCATAACCATGTGCTCAGCACCGTCAGGATTCGGTCCTGGCCTACTCCCAACTACCTCTCTCGTACCCAGCAACCCTTTGTCTTCTCTTTGGCATTACACAGAACCTCATGTACTAACTTTAAGAATCTCTCCACACTTCACTCTGCTGGCTTTTTTTTTTTTAATTAATCATTGTTTTTTATTATTATTATTCACTTAATTTTATTTATTATTAGTATTCTTCAATTTGGCCAGAGAGAGAGAAAGTAAACCACCAAGTCTGGGACTTGAACTGCAGTCCGACACGTGCAAGTCCAGTGCCTTAAGCACCTCACCACCTGCCGGCCCACCCGCGCTTCACTTTGAAAGAACAATGCTGCTCCTTTCTTTATGGTGAGTGCGAGCCGTCCTGGAGGTGGGGAGGGACGGCCAGTTGTGACACACCTAAGGAGCCGACGTGGTGAAAGCAGAGGGCAGGTAGGTGATGGCGTGAGATGACTGCAGGCTTTCAATTTGTTCTGGACTTAGAAACGCCTTTGTTACCAAAACAACTCTGTCGGCATCACCGAGGTGCTGATTACAAAGCCCACCCTTGGCAGAGAGAAAGCACTCGCGTGCAATGAACACTTGCCATCCGCCAGCACTGGGCTGGGCTAGTGGGCCTCAGCGCTTCAGGGGCAAGGACTCTGAGATTCTCACGGCAACCACGAGCTCTCCTCTAGAAAAATGCATGAACTCAGCAGTCTATGTAGAATTGCAGAGCAAACAACTGTCCTGAACCACAACCAGGGACCCCAGATTAAAGTCCTCTGTGCCAGGGACCAGCAAGTGGCATGGTGGTTAAGGTGCTGGATTCCCAAATGGCTGACCACAGTTTAAATCCTGAACCTGGTGGCTTGAAAATCATGCCAGGCACATGTGCATGTGTGCCCAAAATCCAAGAGAAGGGATTGTGGTGTGGCCACTGCCCCTGGGGGGTTGATTTCTCACTTTCTCCCTCATTGTCGCTCACTCTATCTAGCGACCACATGCACCCTGTGGCAAAAACACAAACAAACAAACAAACAAAAACACTAAACTTAAAAACAATTAAGTCATATTAAAAACACCTGTGTGCCAGGCCCTTCCATCTGTTAATCCATGGAGACTATGGCTTTGTTGACATAAATTGCCATTATCCCCGCCTCGCAGATGAGACGACAGTGAGGTTCAGGGCCACACCCAGGGTCACATGCTGAGTACCTCTTACAGCTAAATGTTCGTGTTTATGTCAAAACCTAATCCCCACTGTGTGGGTCCCTGGGGTGGACCTTCCGGGAGGTGATCAGGTCATGAGGGCGGAGTCCTCATCAGTGTAATCCATGCTGTTGTAGGAGAGACCCAGAGAGACACCCTCACCCCTCCCACCACGTGAGGCTGCCGTGAGAAGACAGGAAGTGGGCTCCCGGCAGGCACCAAACCTGCCAGGACCTGGATGGTAATGTCCCAGCCTCCGGGAAGATGGGAAATACTCAGAAATTTCTGCTGTTAGAAGACACCCAGTCTAGGGGACTCCATTACAGCAGCCAGACCAGACTAAGCCAGTGGCAGAGACATTTCTAAAACACCACACCTTCCTGACCCAGAGGAAAACACCGCTAAGTTTTTACTGTTACCGTAAATATCACCTTTTATTTGTAAATGAGAAAAAAGTGTATGTGAGAAACATAAGTCTGCAAAGCATTCTAGACGCGACCACAGAAAGCCGGGATGTTCAGAGTCCGGCAAGCCCCTTATTTATTTCTCTCCTTTCAAGGTTTTGCCATAGAGCATATGCACTCCCAGGAGAGAGGCAGAGGGAAGGTGAGAAATCACCCCAGGATGGCCACGCTGCAACCCCTTTTTCTCTATTCTCCTCCTGGGTATTTGGGCACATGCGTGGCATGATTTTTAAGCCACTGGGTCCAGGACTTGAACCATGGTAGACCATGTGGAAGTCCAGCACCTTAACCACCATGCCACCTATTGGTCCCAGCAATTACATTTCTTAGCAGCCAAGAGCCTCTCCCCTCCTGGGCCCACCCACCCATCTGGAAAGCAAGCCAAAGAGGAGCCTTTCTGAGAGGCCCTGTATTCCTCAGATGAGAGGCAATGTCTCTCTTCAAAATAATCCATCTGTTAAAAATAATAATAATAATAATCCATCGGTCACAGTAAGCGCTAGCGACCAGTCAACCCCTACAGACATGAAGCAAACAGAAACATGTCATTTCAGAATAGCACATGAATACAAAGAAAGGCAATGCATATGGTTGCTCCTTCACAACGACACATACAGAGGCAAATAAGAACACAAATCTGAAGGTGAAGAACAGGAAAGGACTGTGCTCCCAGCCAAGCGAGCTTGCGGGCAGCGCAAGGACAACCTCTGCTCGGAAGAAAAGACCCTGTGGTGACAGGTCTGCTGGGACCCAGGCTTGTCCAGGGGTGCGCAATGGGTCCTCAGCACTGGCTGTGGCCTCGCGCACACTCCAGTTTCCATGGCAACCCAAGCACTCAGGCTGCTGCGTACCCCACCTCCGCACCTCTGCCTGGCAGCCTTCACGTCAGCCGTGCAGAAAGCTAGCCCTCTGTGTGGGTTTTAGATGGGTTAAAAAGCTGTGTCTCTTAGGAAACCAAATCCCTCCCAAAGCCTAGGCAGTCCCGCCAAACGCCGGTGTCCAAGTGCAGCTCTCGGAACTGTCTTCAGCTCCAGGGCTTCAGGGTGGAGGAGGACGAGGCTGAGCTCGCTCCTGGGGCATGACCTCAGAACGGGAGCCATCAGCTACAGCCTTGTGCGTAAGGAAGCAGGGATGGTCCATTCCAGCCACCCCTGGGCTTCCCATGATATGGTCACATGGCCAGTCATCCTGGGGCACGTTCCAATGACTGCAAGTTCTCCCAGAGGCAGACGCTGACCATGTGCCAAGTGACAGGGATGCAGCAGGCCGTGCTGGCACTGTGCGGTCGACCAGCTCCAACAGGCCAAGCATGCTCCAAGAGCACCCGCGGCCACCGCAGCCAGCACCTGCACTGGCTCGTTCCTGAGGGTGACCCTGTCCTTCCTAACTGCCTCTGGGCAGATGCTCGGGGAAGGAGCTTGGCTGGCACGGGGTCAGCGGGCTTCTCAGGGATGGCTCGCCCCTACTCCTCGGACACGTCTGGGCACACGGACGAGCAGTGTCCCCGGGTCCTCTCTCACTGTACCAGTAGGTTTTTCAAACCAGATGTATCGGTCCCGACAGCAAAGTCCGTCACTGGAAAGGCCAGGAATCCCAGCGCCTGCAGTTCTGCTAGCTCGGCCAGCGGCGGTCACCAGAGGCAGCGTGTTTTAGGTCTGTGTCCCTCGCACGCACGGCTGCCCTGCACAGACATCACACCGGAGCCCACCACAGCAGAGCCCAGAGCAGAAGGAGATGTGAAAAGCCATAAGAAGAAGCACACCCAAACAGATTGTTCCAACATGAAAAGTAAACACAACAAAACAGAATTCAAATACATAGACTTTAAAAATTTGTTCAATACTGGCTCAAAAATAACACCTGCCCACCAAGTCAGAAGGGAGACAGCACCCTTCTGAGGCAAATGAGAAAGGGCTGCTGCTGGAGGTTTCCATCAGAGGCCCTAAAATTAGAATGGGCACACATCACAAGGCAGGAGGCTATGCTGCTTACTCCTCAAATTTCGATTCCAACTGGATCACAGCTTCTGTAAAAAATATGACCTGTAATACCCTTATAGCAAGGGAAAGCATAGTCAATAAATAAACAAAACGCACATACCCAAGCACACACACTGCCCAAGAGGACCAGCTACATAAAAGCCTGTGCCCCAGAACCACCCTGGTCACTGGCTCTGCATCCCACTGCACCTCGGAAAATCTCAGCTTTCTCGCTCTAACAAACTCCAACCTGCACTTGGAGGGGTCAGGTTACACTGCACTCTGCTGATGACAGTTTCCCAGACCTGGCAGCTCTGCAGGGTGACACTGCTTACATGGGTACAGAACGAAGTCTCAGTATCCAGGAAGGACATTACTTTGATCTGGTGACGCCAAAGGTTTGAACTCACTGGCAGAAGGAATTTTACAAATTTTTAAATAAGGAAAGAAGAAACTTACACAAACAAGTTTGTTAATGAGTGTTTTTAAGAATGGCACGGCACTGCTCTAGAGACGGCCATCTAAGCAGTCTTACATCCTCACTGTCCCCAACCTGACAAGCTGGAAGGCAGGCTTTAAAGAAACAAAGTGGAGAGGAAGGGGCTGCAGGCCAGACGCAAAGCCCAGCTCTGCTCCCCTAGGGCCAGCTTTCATTTCGGCAGCTACACAGCACTTCGGTAAATTAAAAATGGGTCAGCAAACCGTATTTGCTGGGCGCCTGCTTCCCCACAGAGGGCTGACTCGGCCTGAAGAGAGAACAGCTCGGAAGCCCAGCAGAGCCAGCGCACACCCGACGCCCGCCTGTCGCGCGGTCTCTGGGCAGTGAGCATGTCGTGCCGGATCAAACACGCCGTCGCTCACCTCCGACACCTGTGAACGGCCCAGACCAGGGCCCCGAGCTCTGGCCCCTGCTCCTACCAGTGCCAGTCCTACACGTGGACATTAGCCACAACCGCTTCCAAAGAAGGACATTCTCTCCTTTAGGTCTTGCCAGCCCCGCAGAGCCTGCTGCACACGGCCTGTCCTCTGATCCCAACGCTCTCAGGGGGCGGTCAGGCCTGCACACCCAGTCCCCTGGAAGGTGCACTCCAACCCCCACGCAGAGTCATCCTGCGGCAGAGCGCCAGCCAGCCCCCTCCGAGGCACATCCGAAGCTTTCCGCTATAGGCAAATACTTCAGCAAACCTCGAGTAAGCCGCCAGTGGCTTTTCCTGAGTCACCGAGATTGGGCACAGAAGTGCTGCTCTGGCACCAGAGGAGTTTCAGGCGAGAGAAACTGAGCGAAGGAAACAAGTTCAGCAACAACACAAGGATTTTCACATCACCAAGGACAAGGGAAGAGAGAGAGAGAGGGAAGGAGGGAGGACGGGAGGGAGGGAAAACAGTTTAGTAACCAACGTGGTAACATAGTGGACCATTCCGAATTCTTTTCCAATACCGCAGATCAGATAACATGTACTCTCGGTCTGGAGAAATAATAAAAACTTCCCGGGAAAGCTGTGAAGTCTTAGGACACAGATAAGGATGAAGGACAGGACCTCAGGAGACATGAAGTCTGCCCAGGCTCAAGGTGAAGACAGTGAAAGGCATCTAGCTTAGAGCCCGTGTAAACTGGCAATACCCAAAATGGCTTTTAAAATGAAGAGATAAACAATAAACAAACAACAATAACCAAATACCCTCAGCACTGTTCAAAACAGAGAAAAGCCCGAGAGAGCATTTAAAAATAACATCAATCCACTACAACTGACAGTATTTAAAACAAACAAACAAAAAAAACAACTGGCAGTTGAGCACAAACGTCCTATTTTTAAAAGACAGAATCTGCCTAAAGGCTCTGCCCATGCCCACGCCACGTGAACCGGCTGGCTGTTAGTGGTCTCCCCACAATGTTAGAGACAGAGCGCAGAGCTCTCTGAGGCACAGCTTGGGAGCGCCGTCTGGTGAGTGGGTTAGGAGTATCATCGTTTTAGTTAGCTTTCACAATTCAAATGCAGCAAGCAAGCCGCAAGTCCCAGCTTCGCGGTGAGCCGCAGCAACCCGGCCCACGGAGAGGCAATTCTGGGTGGAGGCAGAACTCAGACCCTTCAGAGGAATCCTAGGTTGAAGGAAAAACAAGGGCATTAGACAGTTTATAAACATTCCTATTTGCAAATATCCCACCTGAAAGCTACATAATCGATTCTTAATATTCTCTCTGCACAGAGGAGTATAGGTTTATGTGAGAATTTATGACTCTCCACCAAGTAGAAAGTAAACAGCAGCTAGTCTGCGCGGTCTGAACTCGGCTCATCAAGTCCTCTCAGCAGTAACAGCTACCACGACGGCGTAAGCTCCGGTTCGTTTGGTACATTCCCTGGCCCTCAAGCACACGCGCATGCACACGCACGTGCACATGAAGCAGCACTGCTGTCGCCTTACAGAGAAGAGCTTGCAGCCGGCAGCCTGCACAAGCTAGCTTGCCCCAGGGACAGCTGCGGAACCCATGCCTAAGTGCACGCACAGCTCACTCTACCACCCTCGCTCACCGGGGAATGTTTTCTCAGCCCGCTAGACACAGGGCTCTCTGGTTACTGGGAGGAATGGAAGGACAGGAGACAGAGGACAAACAGGTTCTTCAGCTGGACATTTGTTCTCCAGGAGAGAAACTAGCTGAAGAGGTAAGAGGTTACACGTGAAGTAGGTGCAACACGCACTTGAGGAGTAGCCGTATGATTTCACAGGAAAAAGTAATTCTGACTGAGTTAGTCAGAGAAGGTTTCAAAGGAGGTGGGATTTAAGTTGGGCTTGGAACAGTGAAAATAATGGGCTTGATTGCTGGAAATAATGCCCATTAGAGCCAACTCATGGCATGGTAGTTAAGACAGCTGGATCCCACCCACACGGCCAACTACAGAATTTGAGTCCTGGATCTGGCAGCTTGAAAAACACGCCAGGTGTGTGTACATGTGTGCCCAGAATCCTGAAAGGAGGGAGAGATGGAAGAGCAGGGATTGTGGTGTAACCATTCCCTACAGGAGGTGTTTTCTCTCTCGCTCACTTGCTCTGGCTAGCACATGGGCCTTCTGGTTAAAAAAAAAAAAAAAAAAAAAAAGCAAACGATGCCCATTACTAAGTAGGCGCTAAGTCAGTGTTTCTCCCTGGAGGAGATTTGAACTGTCCCATCCTGGGGACATTTAGCAATGCTGCCTGTCACAGCGGGGAGAAGGGTACTGCCAGCATCCAGGTGGAGGCCAGGGGTGCTGCTGGACAGCACACAGTGCACAGTGGTTACATGACCCCAAATGTCAGTGGTGCCACCAGACTGGACACCCTCTGCTCCCCATGGACGTCTGTCTGGACTGTGCAGCTGCTGCTATGATATAATTGCATTATCTTCTTCAAGGAATATTTGTTAGCTTGATAAATATCACCATCAGGAAAAAGAAAATCTATGGGTGGGGCCAGCCCCAGAGCACAGTGGTTAGGTGCTGTGCATTGGGAACCAAATCCCACATGGTCGACCGCAGTTCAAATCCTGGACCCGAGATGCGTGTGTGTGCCCAACATCCTGACAGGATGGAGAAATGGAGAAGGGATTGTGGCGTGACCATGCTCTGACGGGGAGAGTATTCTCTCTCTCTCCCTGCCCCTCTCTCAGAAGCATAAATGTCCTCTAGCAATAAAGACAAAATCCACAGTTGTGTTGATTATTGTGCAAAAGAAATAAAGGGCAGGTAAGGTCTGTGGCCTGCAAGCTGGAAGAGAGTTCCAACGTAGAGATGCAGGTGTGAGGCAGTTGTCAGTCAGAGAGCAGAACGGGGCTGCAGGAGAGCAGGCTGCTCAGAGGAAGGGACAGGAAGGGCAGAGAGGAGAGCAGACCTCCAATCGAATGCTGGAACAGGAGAACAGGGAGCAGAGGGGAGGGGCAGACCACAACGAGCCACTGCGGGCATGGACAAGAACAAGAGGACAGAGACACACGGCAATGTGACATCACAGCAGCAAGGAGAGGGCAAGCACAAACACCATCGCCTGACCCCACCGAAGACCACTCCTGGTCTGCAGGCCTTTACTACGCTGAGTGACTGACATTTGTGAGAAGCTAGCAAAATATATTCTCTCTCTCAGAAAAATGCACCTACATAAAAGATTGCATCGGGGGAACCAGCAGTTAGCATAATGACTACGTCGCTGGACTCCCACGTAGTCGACTGCAGTTCGCGTCCCGGACCTGGTGGCTTAAAACTCACGCCAGGCGCATGTGCGTGTGTGTCCAAGATCCCAAGAGGAGAGTGGAGGAGAAGGGATTGCGACGTGACCATCCCCCCTGGGGGGTGATTTCTCGCTTTCTGTCTCTATGTCTCTCTCTGTCTGGCGAGCGCACGTGCCCTATAGCAAAAATCTCTCCAAAAAAAAAAAAAAAAGATTGCATTGGGGCCAGCAGGTGGTGTGGTGGTTAAGGTGCTGGACTCCAACATGGTCAACTACAGTCTGAGTCCTGGACCTGGCTGCTTGCTTTCTTACTCTCCCCCAACCCCCCTGTATCTCATGAGTGAGCACATGTACCCTATAGCAAACTGAAAAATAGTAATAACACAAAAAGGAGATTGCATTAAGGCCAACAGAAAAGGGGCCAGCAGGTGGTGTCACCAGGCACTGGACTCCCACAGAGCTGACTGCAGTTCAAGTCTCTGAGATATTTCACACACGCCCAGCCTGCCTGAGATGCAGGGGTCATGCAGGTCTCCCTTAGCAGCTCTGCCCCCACACCGGGGATGGTGCCGAGCAGGTGCTGTGTCACCACCTGCTGGGAGAACTCCAGGGCGAGGCCTTGCGACTCTCACACCCTCTGACCGCCGCTGCACTGTGGCAGGGACTGACGAAATGCAGGCCACCTGCTGGGAGAACTCGAGGGCGAGGCCTTGCGACTCTCACACCCCTCTGACCGCAGCTGCACTGTGGCAGGGACTGACGAAATGCAGTAAGCCGGGAGCAAGCACCAGCAGTACCTTTCTTCCCCTCTCTCTTCCTCTCAGGACATTTCAGTCTTGTTGGTGTCGTCATGACAGCCGGAGAGTCCAAAAATAACTGTAACGAGAAAATTTCACAGCGGCTTAGATGTTCTAATGCCATCCCCACAGACAGACGTTTCTAACAGGAGTCACTGCTCAGTGTCACTGTGAAGAGTTTTATAGAGACTGACGTACCGTGCCGCCTTCATCTCAGCTGATTTACAGCTGGCTGGATGAAGTCACTGTGCCTGGGACACCAGGAGGGACTACTCCACAGGTAATGCGGGGACAAGGCCTGGCTCAAGTGTGGCCTGCCTTGTGGAGTCGCTGGTAAGAATCAATTGCCCCTCCAGAAATTGTTCGCGGAGCCCATGCATTGTGCTGGGTAACTGGGCTTGTGACTAGCTATTTGCTTTTGAATGTAAAATGCTTATCGAATGAATCAATACAAACGATGGACGAAGACTGTCAGTATAAACGAAAGGACTGAGGAAAGGGCCTGGAGAAACAGTAAGATAGGTCACAGGTCAGTTTTCCTCCTCTCTACACACGTACGCTCCCGGAGAGAAAACCCACAGCGCAGCCTCTTACCAAGTCCCGATTCTCCTTGCCGGCTGTCGCCAGCTCTCGGAGGCCCACAGACTCCGGAGTGCCACACTCGTGTTTCTTTTCTGATGTCCTCTGGTTTCCCAGGACCTTCCGCTGATTTAGGAACAAAAATATTTGATTTGTAAACAGCTCTGAATCTATTATTATAGCTGTCTTGGCTTTCACACTACAATTCCCCTAGTTTAAAAAATCTTGATAAATTCTTGTGTATACCCTCCCAGGTTCTCTTATACAAGGAAAGACCAAATATGTTACCAAAATAATTTGAAATCATTGCCTTTAAGTGATCCTCCACATTTAAAAAAAATAATTATTTATTTAATTTATTCATTCATTAGTATTACTATTATTTTAATTTGACCAGAGATGGGGGTGAGGGTGGGGGGGCTGTGAGAAGCCATGGTTTCATGAACCACGGTGGAGCTGATTTAAACTAGCAAGCGCAGAACAATTAGTGTGCCTCCAGGACCATAAAAGAAACACCAGTCACTTACCGATATAATCTTCCCCACAAATTTGCTGTCTCTGGTAGTTTCTTTTTTAGTTTTTAGTTTTTGCTATAGGGTACATGCACTCACCAGAGAAAGAGAGAAAGTGAGAAAGCACCTCCCAGGGGATTTAGCCAGGCCACAATCCCTTCTCTTCCACTCTGTCCTTGCGATTTTGGCACACGCGCACACACACTCAGCGTGATGCTCAAGCCATTAAGTTCAAATGCTGACTACGTGGGAGTCCGACACCTTAACCACCATGCACCTGCCGGCCCTCCGGTAGCTACTAAACGAGTCCCTTCCACCTGCACTTTCCTCTAAGGAACTCTTGGGCTGGGACTTGACTTCCCTGTCATTTCCTCACAGAGGACTAGAAAATTTAGAAAAATTCTGTAAGAGTTTCTAATGTAGCCACAAGAGGATAGAGGCCTTCTTAAGAGGCTCACATGACTAGACTGACTTTCAGAGCAAGACTAACATCCCTTCCTCTCCAAACAGCTCAGAAGCTGATGTAACCTAGCGTAACAGTGAAGTGACAACTCTACCGTCTTTGGAGAAATCATCCCTTTCCCCTTTGGAGATTATATCTGAATTCTTAAAAAAAGAACATATCAAGACTAGAACAGTAAACTCTATATTCTAAACATCAGCAGCAATATTTAGAATATTCTGAGATAAAAAGGCATTTACATGGGAGGAATTCTGGAGGTTAAAAAGTCTAGTCAAAGAAGGTTTAAGCAAAGCCAGATAGCTAGTTAATTATACCTTAATAACATTGGGGGAAATAATTTTAAAATTTTTTTCAGAATTATTTTATTTATAATTTATTTATAATTTATTTGTAATTCACCAGAGCAAGACAGAGAGAGAGAGAAAGGGAAAGTGGGAAAGAAGGCCACCAAGACTGGGACTCAAACCATGGTCAGCCATGTGGTAGTCCAGTGCCTTAACCATCAAGATACCTGCTGAGGGCCCAGCAGTTGGCATAATGGCTGTTGCTGGACTCCCATGTAGTCGACCGTGGTTCAAGTCCCAGACTTGGTAGCTTAAACTTATGCCGGGCTCGTGTGCGTATGTGTCTGAGATCCTGAGAGGAGAATGGAGGAGAAGGGATTGTGGTGTGGCCATACCCACTGGGGGTGATTTTTCACTTTCTGTCTCTCTCTGTCTTTCTGGTGAGCGCATGTGCCGTATAGCAAAAATTTCTCTCAAAAAAAAGATACCTGCTGAATCATTTTTTTAATTTAGAAAAAGGCAAGATAGAAATCAAAGAGCTCAAACATGGAAATGCTATACAAATAAGAACCATACATATTCCTTGCAGAAGTCTGGTATCATCTCAGAGTTACCTGAACTGGGGATACCAGGAGACACAGAACTGACTGTAAAACTTCAAATAAACTGTGTGCTTTTCAGGTTTATTCATTTATTCCTTCCAAGAGAACAAGAGAAAGTACCCTCGACAGGGTCTGAACACCATAATCTGTTCCCAGCCTCAGGCAGCCCTGGCTTCCAGGCCCAGGCATGCCCAGCATACTCAGCAAGGTCTTCGAATGCAAATCCAGAGCCTTCCAACATAGGCCGGGATCAAAGAGCACTGCCTTCACCACTGCACTGCCACGTGGCCCCCAGCGTGACTTGTAAAAGGACATTATTTGGTTGCAAGGCCATTAAGCAAAACCCTACATCTATTAGTTACTCAAAAATGTCTTGGGCCAGCAGGTGGTGTGGTGGTTAAGGATGCTGGACTCTCATGTGGCAGAGCATGGTTCAAGTCCTGAACCTGGCAGCTTGCTTTCTCACTCTTCTCTCTCTCTCACTCTGTCCCTCTCTGGTCAAATTTAAATAAATAAATAAATAAAGTTAAATGAAATAATTTTTTAAAAAGTCTCATAATCTATTGATGACGAAAACACTTGACTCCTGTTTTATAAAATTTGCTCGCGTTTGGGTTTAAAGTTATAGTTCTATTGGGTCACTGGGAAAGTCACAGTGCATTTTTGCATAGAAAAGCAGAAAAAGGTACACCTTTCCCAACCACCTAATAAAACGCTTGATCATGATAAAGCCATAAGCTCTTAAAGGTTTTAAAGTCCTAAATTCTCTCTTAGTAAAGAAGTTCTTAGGTGCCAAGACGATACTTACATTTCAGCAATAATTCACAATACACCTAAAAGCAACTGTGGGAGAAGAGCTCACTAAGACAGAAAACCGCACCCATCAAATTCTGGCTAAAGGGACCAGCAGTTAGCATAATAGCTGTGTCGCTGGACTCCCATGTAGTCAACCGGAGTTCGAACCCAGGACCGGGTGGCTTAAACTCACGCTGGGCGTGTGTGCATGCGTGCCCAAGATCCCAAGAGGAGAATGGAGAAAGGATTGCAGCATGGCCTTCCCCCCCCCGGGGGGGGATTTCTTGCTTTCTGTCTCTCTATCTGTCTCTGCCTTTCTGGCAAGCGTGCTGGACTCCCACGCAGCCGACCGCGGTTCGAGTCCCAGACCCGCTTAAACTCACGCCGGGTGCGTGTGCATACATGCCCAAGATCCCGAGAGGAGAATAAAGGAGAAGGGATTATGGTGTGGCCATCACCCCGGGGGGTGATTTCTCACTTTCTGTATCTCTGTCTCTCTGTCTTTATGGAGAGCACACGCGCCCTATAGCAAAAACCTTTCCGGAAAAAAAAAAAAGTTTATTTAGGGCCAGCAGGTGGCATGGTGGTTAAAGCATGGACTCCCACATGGCCAACCACAGTTTGAGTCCCAGACTTGGTAACTTGCTTTTTCTTTCTTTCTGTCTCCATCTGGTCAAACTGAATAATAACAAATAAAAATTAAATGATTAAAAATAATAATAAATAAACTTAATCTTTAAAAAAGATTTATTTAACTAACACATATATAGAGAAACATTTATTTGACTATAAATTTTCTGTTAGCAATCATCTCTATGACCAGTAAGTCAGGGGAAATGACAGGCTTTTCCAACTGAGAAGGAAAAAAAGAGTGAAATAAGGATGTCCATTTTTTTTTAAAGAATTATTTTATTTAACTTTTTTTTTTTTTTTTTTTTTTACCCAGGAGGGGCAAGGGGGAGGGGGGGAAAAAGGAAA